GGGAACGTGTTGCTGTGGCAAAGAGCTGAAGGGAAATGCTGACCTTATATCCCTTCCCGGCTCTTGCCACCAGGTGCAGTGAGTTACCAATCGGCCTCACCTGTGCGTCCGTGCCTTGCCTCTTCATAACAAACTTAGGAAGGCCCCAGTCCTGGTCACAGGGCCTGGCTCCTGCACACACACCTGACACCAGGGAGTGTTAGCAGAGCTGCCCTGGAGGAAGGCTCGGACAGAAATGGAATAAACCAATGAATAACTTGCTGGATGAAAATAACTTCTGTGAGCCTGAGGACACCAGTTGGATTTCACTCCTGCGTATCTTGGAATATCATTGACTGTAACTTGGTCAGGAATTTTAGTTTATTTGGGTATGTCTTGGGCTATGTGCCTGGGACTAACGCTGGCTCTGGGATAGAGTGTTGCCTGCATACCCCTGAAAGAGACTGCTCTTGTTGAAGGTCTCCATGCAGCTCCTGGGAGGCTTTGGTGCTTAGGTTTCGTGCTTAGCAGCTGCAAATTAAAGAAAAATGAAGGGAGCTGGATGCTTTGAGCCTAGGAAAACAAGGGGCCTGGAGGGAGCTCATGGCTGAGTGTTTGTGTGTAAGGGCTGCCTCCCGAGACCTTTGGCATCCTCAGTAGAATAAGTGTGGGCATGATATTAATGTAAATAATACTTTCTGCTTCTGAAGTGTCTCTATGTGAATAGAGGTAACAGTATTCTGCCTCTGGCTCAATTAGCACACTGGGAAACCAGATTGATGGGAGGGTATCAGAACAGTTCACATTTTTCTTGTAGGAAAATAGTAGTAGTGTGTGTATGTGTGTTCAGGAATAATGGAAATTGATAGAATAGTGTGCTTCTGAGCTGCATTTAATTTTAGAATGTTATTCACCATAGCCATGACTCTGTGTGCTTTTCAGTTGGTCTAGATCAGTAGCTCCAAAACTTTGTGCCAGGCCGAGGGATTTTTGTGCTGCTGGAAGTAAGTGAATAAATAGCAGCCAACGTCACCAAGGTGAAAACCTGCATTCCCTCCAGGGGAACCTTTGAAGGGTTGGTGGGGCAAGAGGCAAAAGTGAACAGATCAGTTGATGTGACTCTTTGTACTGTAGGCTACATTCCAGGTGAAACTAAGAGATTTTCTCACACGTTTCCATTTCTTCATTCAGATAGGCAAGTTGGATGGGTCAGTCAGTCAGTCAGCCAGTCAAGTTTATTGCTTATAGCCAAAGGCTGCTGCAATGTATACAATGAGGATGGATCAGTCTGTTTCACTTATACACCACTTTTCTACAATGAGCTGTGCCCAAAGCGGCTTACAGCAAGCATTCAAAACATAAAAATAGAGAACATTTGATGTACAAAAGTACAAAATACAGAACATACCAGGAAATTCAAAGTAACAAAAACCAGAAACAATTGCACTGTACTGGATTTCTGAATGGGAGCAGGGGCTTTCCAGAGACTGAATAAATTGCTCACCATTGAACTATGCATTTGTAAAAGGAAAACAGCAAGTTTTGCCTTCTTTATGAGAGAACTTCGTAATACAGGGACATATTCCAGCCAGGTAGAAGGATTCAGGGAGGGAGCTGTTGTGATTTGTGGCGTGTGAAGAAGGCTCATGGTTTGTCAATTGAGCCACGGGCTGGGGAGAATCCCAAGAGCTGGAGAGAGAGGGCTTGAGGGCTGCATTTGCCGGCAGACCCAAGATTTCCCATCTCTGTTCTGGCCCCCCTCCTTACAGCCAGTGGCTAATTTTGCCACATCTCAGTTTCCTGAGAGAGGGAAAAAACACCTGAAGTTTTTCTTCCTGTCTCATAACAATGGAACTTGGTACCACCCAATGAAGCTAAATGTTGGAAGATTTGGGACAGGCAAAAGAAAGTACTTCTTCACACAATTCATAGCTAAACTAGGGAATTTGCTCCTGTGAGAAACAGGAACCTATCATGCACAAACCTCTTGTATTTATGCTTCTCGCTTCAGCCGGATTGTTGGTGACCTCCCATTGGAAGTCCAACTCCTTCCCAAGAGAAGTGGCTAGCACAAGTATGGGACATTGCACTGCCAGAATATTTGACACACAAACAGAGAGTCCATAACGGTTCATTAAAAGCAGATCTTTTTTATTCAACATGGTATAAGCCTTTCCCCCTATGTTAACTCAGTTGAACAGCCCACTAAGCCCCCTGTTCCACCCCATTTTATTTTTTCTATCTGCATGCATTTATTTTGGTTACACTTATTACTTTTACGGGACGCGGGTGGCACTGTGGGTAAAAGCCTCAGCGCCTAGGACTTGCCGATCGAAAGGTCGGCGGTTCGAATCCCCGCGGCAGGGTGCGCTCCCGTCGCTCGGTCCCAGCGCCTGCCAACCTAGCAGTTCGAAAGAACCCCGGGTGCAAGTAGATAAATAGGGACCGCTTACTAGCGGGAAGGTAAACGGCGTTTCCGTGTGCTGCGCTGGCTCGCCAGATGCAGCTTGTCACGCTGGCCACGTGACCCGGAAGTGTCTGCGGACAGCGCTGGCTCCCGGCCTCTAGAGTGAGATGAGCGCACAACCCTAGAGTCTGGCAAGACTGGCCCGAATGGGCAGGGGTACCTTTACCTTTACCTATTACTTTTACAGTATTTTGTATGTGTTTATATCAACAAATTTTTATATTATTTTTTTAAAAAAACAGCAGTGATGGCCACTGACTTGGGTGGCTTTAAAAGAAGATTAGACACATTCATGGAGGATGCTGTTGCTAGCCATGGTGCCTGTGTTCTGCCTCCACTGCCAGAGGCTGGGCAGCACAAGTAGGGAGAGAGCTGCTGCACTTATGTGCTGCTTGCAAGGTCTCTGGGCATCAGGTTGACCACTGCAAGACGGGATGCTGGACTAGATGGGCCTTGGTCCTTATAGCAGGCCTCTTCTCACGTCCTCCTTTGGTGTGATTGGACACAGTAGAATTACCTGTTCTTGCAAGAGGCCCGCTCAGAATAGGGACCACCACAGAAACGTGTGTGTGTGTTGCATGCATGTGTGTAGTTCTCTGAAGGCGAGTCATTCCGGTGCTGACACTCAAAATCTTTCCAACTGAAAGAGTACAGTGTTCCAGTTTTAATTTACGAGAAGAATTTGTGTCGGCTATCTGAAGTGTGGAAAATGTGTGTCTAGGGTGAGCATCTCCTGAAATGTTTTCAAGGCCAGGGCTCAAATGCTGAGGGCTGAATAGTCCTACAGTACTAAACTGAAGTCTTAAATGAATGTTGATGTTTTACCTTTTCATAGCATATGGGCTTTTTGTGGGGCGGGAGGGAAGGTATATGTCTGAATATTGCATGTAGGGATCTGCTCTGTTCCTATTATGACACGACCGTATTCAATAGTAGCAGGGATCAGAGGCTGGGTTGTTCTGCATTTCCATATGTCTGCTAACATGACGATGATGAGGTATAATTATTTTCACTCTTGACTGAAGCACAATCCCATTGTCTCTCTCTTTCATAACTGTCACTTTTCCAGTGCGAGGCCTGACCTGCAATCATTGCAGGTGCTTTGCTGCACTGGGAAGAGCATCTCACTTTCAATATAGTTCCCAAAGCACTCTAAATATTTATGTTTTATACATCTCTCTTTCCAGCCTGCACACACATTCCCAAAGTGAGCAGCTTCTCTTTCTGACACACAGTGGTAGTGTGGGTAATTTTATTTTTAATGAGGAAATTTGAGGGAACTTCCGAATGACATCTGTGTTCTGTCCTGCACAGATAAGTTCTCAGCTGCTCAAGGTACACCTCAGCTGACCTCTCTGTGCCGTTAACATACGCAGAGTAGACAGAACAGTCCTTGGGTACATTGAAGATTGATATATCCCAGGCATTGACAGCTGTAGAGCTGGTCTGCTGTGCCAATTTCAGACGGGAAGTTTTGTCTTGCTTCAGAAAAAAATTAGTTGGCTCTCAAAACCGTTTAGAGAGCCATCTTACCAAGATGGCTAATTGTGCAAGGAATTTTATGAAAAGCCTTTACGATGTTTTATTCTGAACAATTGCAAGCTAATATTGCTACTTCTATTAGGCCAAATGCTTCTTATAATATTAATAATATTTAATAGCAAACGTTTTGGGTATTTTCAGTTGGAACGAAGTTCAGATATTCAAATTTTTCGTGCCCTCTATACATATAAAGAAGAGGAAGAAGAGTTTGGATTTGATATCCCGCTTTATCACTACCCTAAAGAATCTCAAAGCGGCTAATGATATCCTTCCCTTCCTCCCCCACAACAAACACTCTGTGAGGTGAGTGAGGCTGAGATACTTCAGAGAAGTGTGACTAGCCCAAGGTCACCCAGCAGCTGCATGTGAAGGAGCAGGGAATCGAACCCGGTTCACCAGATTACAAGTCCACTGCTCTTAACCACTATAGCACACTGGCTCACTGTGCCCTGTTGCTTGCCTTCCTGAGTTTCCAGCCATTAGAACTTAGGATCCTTAGGATGTCTGTGATTCTAAGAAATGATATTTATTGTTAGGGATGGAGTAAGCTGAAATGCTGGGCAGGCAGAGTATGGTGGCCCACCACAAAAGCAGACAGACCTTTAGCCTTTGTATCTAAGAGGGAATTTCAGCAGGTGTAGCTTTTCTACATCTGGCTACCTTGTAAGTCTTGTAAATGCCTCTTTTTTAAAAATACAAATAAAAAAGACTCTTAGGAGATAGACTGGTTAAAAGAAGTGGGATGGGTTTAGCAAATGATGTAGGGAACTGAAATGATGGGGATGAAGAAACTGGAGTGGGGCAGGGGGAAATTGGACAAACCCTTGATTAGAAATGTTCCCATAGGAATCAATGGAAACCATGGACTTGATATGTGAATGCTCACACAGTGAATTATTTCCAGGATCACATTGTGTTTAGTAAGCGGGACCTGTGTAAAGTAGAGGTTTTGTACGGCTTATAATGTAGTGTCAACATGTTTCATGCTTTCATTTTCTGTTTGTATTATTAGGCTGATAAAGAATTTGTGTGGTCTTTATGGAAACGTCTTCAGGTCGCAAACCCAGATCTGACACAAGCAGTCAGTATGGTTGTCGAAAGGTGAGTATGGGCTATTTTTCTCTTTGTGTTGTTTTCTTTTTTAATTATAGTCATGTTCAAGTGTTCGCCTGAACATGCAATGCTTAAAAGTGAGGACAGGGTGCACATGCAAGACCCAGCCACAACATCCCCGTGTTCATTCATCCTCATGCACATTAACATTGACCTTCCCATGTAGAGCAGGAAAGGAGATTTTGCCTAGATTCGCTTGAATACTGGTAAAACTCTGCACAGTTTGAGACATTGATAAAGCAGAGTCTCTCACTGGATGGAGAGTTGTAGTCCCATTTAAATGAATGTGAGTAAAAGCCTGCTTCAGACTTTTCATGTTCAACACAGGAAGTTCTGGGCTCATGCACGCAGGGATGCTGTGTCTGGGTGCCCTTTATTTTAGATATTGCATATTCAGGCCTGAACATACTCCTTTCTCAGATATGAGGAATCTGTTTAAGATCACAAGGGTTTGCCCTAGGTAGCTGGCCATACAGAGAGGGCAGAAATGATGTCCTACAATACAGTTGAATAACTCCGTTCTCCATGTATTCAGGAGATCAGTGCTGACTTATTGAAGGTGACAGGCCTAGTTATATTTAGGGCTGCTATTTGGTTAAAGGAATCTTAGTCCATAAATTTCATGAGCGTTAGTTGATTGATTAATTAAATTGAATTTGCATATGATCAACAATAGGTCTAAAGACAGAAATCAGTTGTGGGGTGAAGGTAAGATGATGCATGTATCTCTCACAGCAGGCATTATTCTACTATCTCATCTTAGAAGAAGCACTCCTATTGTCTAAGCGAAGGGTGAATACTTTTTGATGACACTTGCCATTTGCAGTGTGTGTGTGTATGTGTGTGTGTATCTATCATCTATCTCTATCTATCTATCTATCTATCTATCTATCTATCTCTATCTATCATCTTCTGCCTGATTAATTTTTCAGTTGATCAGAAGGTTTTGACCTGATTTATGCTAGCCTATCAATCAGATAAATGTTGTAGCCATAGCATTCAGCTTTTGATATTTTGTTATAGATACGTTGTTAATGTTATAAAAATTTTAAAGTGAGAAAAGTTGGTTTTAAAACAATATTATTATTATTATTATTATTATTATTATTATTATTATTATTATACCATAGAACTGTAGACTTGAAATGAATCCCAAGTGTCATCTAGTATGATTTTAGCAATTATATATACAGAGCGAGGGAGAAATTTAATTCTGTTAATAATTGTTTTTCCCATCAGGGAACAAGGCAGGATATATAAATACCTAATATATAAATAAATAAATATATTTATTTATATATTTATAAATTATATATATATATATATATATGCAGGTTTTGGTGTCCTCGGGTGTCTTCCCGTGTAAAAGTTGGGGTGTCCTAGGCGACGTTTCGACGAGGTCTCACTCGTCATCTTCAGGCTGGTGCTTTCGGCTTCTTGTTACTGGAACAGAGCAGGATCTCAGTGTTTGAGTTCCTATAAATACTGTTGAGGGGGTGTGGTGTATAGTCTCCAATGTTCTGGGCAGTTCCCAGGCTAGTGTGCCTTTTCTTCTTTTGTTCCTTAATTACTTGAGGGATATCTTGAGTGATTTCTTGAGTGATATTCTGAGTACCACTTAGGTGGGTCATTAGGTGTGGATTAGTTGCTAAAGCCTTCGTGTCTTGACCTCTTGACCTCTTGAAGCACCAGCCTGAAGATGACGAGTGAGACCTCGTCGAAACGTCGCCTAGACACCCCCAACTTTTACACGGGAAGACACCCGAGGACACCAAAACCTGCATTCCTGTACCCGTGAAAATCTACGAAAGCAAATATATATATATATATATGCACCAGCCTGAAGATGACGAGTGAGACCTCGTCGAAATATATATATATATATATATATATATATATATATAAAATACCCCTACCACCACCACCACCATTAAAATGACTTAAGAATGCCACTTGTTGGAATACTGATTTTTTTTTTAAAAAATCTCTAACTTGCTTGTTAAATATATGGACCTTAATTGTTGAAAACATACAGTCATTTTTTTCCTGAGTGAAGAAATAATATGAGAACCAATAAGGTATAGTTGTTAAAGTGTGGGACTAGGACTAGGGAAATTTGAGATCAAAATCCCACTGAACTATGAATCTTATGGGGTGAATTTGGGCCAGTCATTGGCTTGCTTCACACATCATGCTAAACCAAACCATAGCTTAATGCAAATGTATGGGCTCTGAGAGAAGAGGTTATGGCTGCTTTGCTCATCCCTGGTCTCTCTTCTGCTGCACTACACTGAGCTGAACCACGGTTTGGTTTGCACATTGTCTGAACCAGCGTACTGTACCTCCCTCTAACGATCATGAGCCTTGTCACTTTTGTTTTCAATTTTGTTCCTAATGATCTCTAGCACCAAATTAGCCCTTGTGATGGGATAATGAGCTGCTTGTGCGTAAAATGCAAGTCCCTCAGAGTTTGATCAGGTTCTCAAACCTCTGCCTGTGACGGAGCCCCTCCGGCATGGCTGCGTCAGTCGCTAGCAGAGTCCAAAAGTGGTTGCTTTCGGAATCTCTTCCAACATAAAAGCTCCTTAACGGAAACACGTCTTCTGGACTCTCTGCGTGACAGTTTCCGGCGAGGAGTGGGTGTCCCTATAGGAGGTCCTGAGACCTCCCCAGTGTTTTCGCTGGAAGCGTCTCTGAGCCATCCCTCCGACTCACTTTCCCTTGGAGTTCCTTCTCTCCCCCTACTGGTTCCCTCTTCAGCTGCTACGTCTCTCTCAACCTCAGTGAGCCTTTGCACCTCCTGTCCTTCCGATGGCAGTTCCCTGACAGCCCTTTTCACAGTTGCTGCACATTGGGTCACTGAACTATTTTCTATGACCCCATGATCTCATTGTGCCTGTTCAGACCCCATTATTTAATGTCCACATGAAATTCGGATTTTTTTTTGGCCCTATATTAATGTTTCCATACCTGAGAGAGTCACCACCAAAAAAAGGCCTGTCTTTTTTAGGCATTCTTTATTTAGTCTAATTGTTTTTATTTAACCAATTAATATTTCAGTAGACTTTTATTTGCAACACTTTTAAATATCCATTTTTATGAGACTATGATAATTAAGCTGTGCAGTTGAAAAATCATTTGGGGAATTATACCTTTGTACTGGTTTGATGTGGAAATATTTTGCAACTGAAGAAAGTAACTTTTTCCTTTTCAGAATTCTTTCATGTTCCCAAATAGGGATTGAACTGCCCTAAAAATTTCAAAATGAAACTGGAACCCCATTGTCTGTAGCGTTGATTCCTGAGATATACAAAATAGATTTCACTTTTCAGCATTCGTTGCAGTTCTTATCTGGTGACTGTAACAACATTCTCTGTTTTAATATTCAGGTACAAACAAAAAATATCTTTACTGTGCAAATGAGAAAAGCCTTTGGGATATGTTAAAGCCTCCAGGTATTTTCAAACAAGCCATTGTAAAAGTATATCCATGTTAGTGTACTTTCCAACTACTTTAAATACTATTGATCTCTGAATTATGTAAAAAAAAAGAAAGAAGGTATGCTATTTCTAGTTCATATGCCTTTTGAAACTTTTTTTGATAAAATTAAGCACAAATAAACACTTAATCAGTAATTTTGAATACCTGTGTTTATCAGGTAAAAACCTGGAAATGCTTCTGTTGCTCTGTAAATGTTTCTAGAAGGAGCAAGCCAACTGTACGGAGTTTTGAAATTAACTTTTAAGCTATTTTGAATACCTTTTATCAATGTTTTCCCACAAACCCAGCATATTTTAATAAGTGAGAAAGTGGACAGGATAATTGAAGCAATCCAACTGACCATATGATCCCCTGGTACCCGCCCTTCCTGGGCTGGTTAAAGCTAGCTAGAGCAGGGTGCCCAGGGTGTTGTGAACATGCCGTTGTGTGATGGGGAGGTGCCAGCTGCCCTTATAGAGGTGGTGGTGTGACCCACCTGGACCCAATGGTTGTAAGAACAGAAGAAGAGCCTGCTGGATCAGGGCAGTGGCCCATCTTGTCCAGCATCCTTTTCTCACAGTGGCTACCCAGATGCCAGTGCGAAAGCACAAGAGCAGGCATAGGCAAACTCTGGCCCTCCAGATGTTTGGGACTACAATCCCCACCATCCCTAGCTAACAGGGCCAGTGGTCAGGGATGATGGGAGTTGTAGTCCCAAACATCTGGAGGGCCAGAGTTTGCCTATGCCTGCACAAGAGCATGGTGCAAAAGGTGGTGGCAGAGCGCATAGCTGTCAACCATCCCTTATTTGGCGGGAAACTCCCTTATCCCAGCGCCGTGTCCCGCTGCTGTCCCTTATTGATGATGTCCCTTAAATTTCCCGGGTTTCATGCTCGCCCGGCTAAGGAGGGAAGCAGTGGCTCGGGGTCCTCTGCTGCGAGAGAGAGTGTGCGCTGGCGCCGTCGTCCTGGTGAGAGGAGTTCCATCCACCCTTCCCCGCCCGAGAGAGGGGGGGAGGGAGAGAGTCTCTCGCCCACGCCGTCCGCGAGCCTGGAGGCAGCAGCGGTGGTGGCAGCTGAGGAGGCGGCCTGAGGGAGGAGGAAGAGGAGGGGATGGGGAGGGACGCAGAAGGGCGGCGTTTCAGCGGCCGCTGCGGCACTGCAACTCCCTCATGCTGGATTGACAGCATTTGTCAATCCTACCAATGTATGTAACTCTTAACAATAGCAAAATCTCTTATTTTGGCTGCTGATCCCTTATTTTCGAGGCTGCTGGTCCCTTATTTTCAAATCTGTAAGTTGACAGCTATGAGAGCGACTGCAAGTGTTCCTGTATGACCCTGATTATCTAGATTCATTTCAGTCTGGGTTTAGGCCTGGTTTGGGGAGTAAACGAGCTTCCATTGCCTGGATGAATGAGCTGCATTGGGAGAAAGCCAATGGGAATGCAACCCTGTTACTGTTACCCGGTCTCTCAGCAGCTTCTGGATTGGCTGTGTAGGATGGTGT